ATGGGGGTTAATTACAAAGAATAAACATACAATTCATACTTTTCTTTTTGTATTTCAGGACTACAATCATTTGGTGTAAATCTTCATCTCACGGCATTTGCGATAACATTCGCTGAAATTCCAGGCCCAGTTATATTTGGAATCTTAATGGACAGCAAAGAAAAGAACATTTTCCTATTGGCCTATGGTGCCCTTTTCTTCTCTTTGTTCCTGCTTTATCCGATGTCAGGTATTTCAAACTTAGATGTACGATTTAAGAAATAGATTTAAGCGGTGCTTTTTTATCCATTATTCAATTTAAATCCGCTTTGTTACAGAGAATGTCTAAGAATTACAACAAATAGTAGATTCATTAATGCAACCCAAAATAGGTTATTTATGTTCACTCGTTTTACCTCAATTACAGACCAAGAAACATGCTAGAGGCCTTTTTTTATGTGTGTTGATGCTAGAGGCCTTTTTTTGTGTGTTGATGAGTAAATCATGTAGCTCGTTTTGTATAGATTGTGCAATTTTTAACGTAGGTCAATAAGCGTTGTGAGCAAATCTTGTGTCAAGCATGCATTAGCCATGTAAAAAAATGCCCTTTCCCAAAAAATGTGACTTAAAAATTGGTAGTCTTAGACCTTTATAGACACTCGTGGAAAGTCTTCTCTATATGACCTCGATTTAGAAATGTGTAATAATATCACTCTATTTATTTGGAAACGCCATACACATGTAAATAATTGCTACGATTCAATTTCAATTTTCAAAGAAAAGTTTTGTATTTCATAAATGATAAACTATACATAATAGTTGTTAATTAGGTTTCTTTCCTTACCACGAAGAACGTTTGTTTTGAATAAAAGTAATTCATATTCATGGGAAGTAATTACTAAGCATCTTCTCCGATTTAGCTGTAGGATGATTCAATGAGTAGTATACGAATATTTAAGGATTATTATCAAATGTATAATTTATCGGAGTAATGTGAGAAAAAAGATATTAGCAGTGTTGAGAGAATGAAAATCGAATGAGTCTAAAATTCCAACTCTGTAATTCTTAAAAAGTACACACGTAAAACTGAAACTTGAAATGTAAATCATTATTCATAATGAATTATTCTATTACAATTTGTTAAATGCAACTATTCAATGTAATTTGACAAGTATAAAATGTGAATAAAAGTTTTGCTGATGCTTTCATGAAATTCGTAGACTTGCGATTTGTCAACTTGTGAAATGTAAACTGTACTCATGATTTGTAAATTATGCAAGGTTGCATTATACTAACGCCTATCAAAACGAAAAAGATGCTATAAACATGGTAAGTAATTCGTTGCTTAACAATTAGGTTGTGACTAAAGGAATTTAAAACAAAATATTTAAAGTGATCATGTGTTATGTATTTTTTTTTTATACCTTTGTCTTTAAAACAGATTACTATTTTTGCGTTTATAAATTATCATTAATATATTTTATAATATTTCGTCAGATTTAATACTACACATGTCTAGGAAGGAGGACTCTTCCTCTTTGCAAACCTCATTGAGTGTACATACATTAATCAGATGATTCATAAAACTAAACACATTCCAGAAGTTAATGAAGCATTTTTTGTTAGACTTCATCGGTACTGCATTTTATTCCATGCATCCCTATTGAGAAAAATGAAATTTAGAAAAGAAGGATTCCTTGTCTTGGGCAAAATGATCATATAAATACAGAACATAGGGAAAATATCTAGTCTTCATGCATATAGCATCTTTTTTAAAAGGGGCATCCAGAAAAATAATTTTTTTTTTTATCAAAATACCCTTGGGTTCGGAAGGAATGGTTGTACAGTTCTTATTTTTTTTTATAACAAGAAAATTTTTCTATGCATAGTTATGATGGGATTTTATTACAAAAAATTAACAGTAAAAAAAAATTATTCGGGAAAAAGTGGGAAAGGGAATCCCTCACCTTTACTAAACCTGGTCTTTTCACTACTTTATTAAACAGAAAAAGCTCTTCGGTTCTATTCTCTCGGCACCTCTCCGTGTTCGGATTAAATGGGAGGCTCATGGGTCCGGACCCCCCCCCCCCCCCGAATATGCAGAGTAATTAAATGTTTATACTCTGTTCATTATACAATGTTTGTTTTGTTCCGTTTTGTATATGTATAACTATGATGATTATTGACACTGTTCTGTATGCTCCACTGTGGGCCCAAATTGGTTGAATAAATATTCTATTCTATTCTATACTAAAGCAAATAAAATATGACTTTGGACCCCAGCACACACATACACAAACAAAAACCACCATCATGAAAAAAGTTTTTATTGATTGTTGAAGAGATTCTAGTTCGGTATTTTTGACTGGAGTAGACCCGCCCCTCCTTTGAAAAAAAAATCCTGGGATCCGCGCCTGCCCTCTGTAGGACCAAAACTTTGTGTTTTAAGGACAAGAAATGCACCGTTCTATTTCTGTCTTATTTGTAAAAAGCTTCTGAGACACTTTGAAGGCATAAATTGCATGCGAATTAAAAAACTCAGTTGCTTAAGGTTCTTTTCGAACTTTGAAGATAAATAACTTGCCACACATGTTGTGCCCTCTTTCGTAGTAATATGCAACCTTGTTTAGCGTACAATTTAGAAAAGTACAATATTTGCATTTCACAAGTTGACGAAATGCAAGTCTACGAATCACACGTGATCATTAACATTACTTGCATTTATATTTTACACTTTTCAAGTTTTGTTGGATAATTTACAATTAAATTATAATAGAACAGTTGACAAATTATGAAATTATAATTAACAATTCAAAAATTTAGGTTTTGAAAATATATACTTTTACGAACTAGAGATTTAAAATTGTCAAACCCTGGGCTTTCCCTCTGAGAGAAGGATCCAAAAGGTTTCAAATCAAATCTTTAAATTTCATTTTCAGGGAGCAATATGAGGCGCCTTCATTATTGTCTGGGGTGGGGGCATGATATAATTGTCTTACGAGCTCAAGAATTATAACAAATTAAAAATAAAGCATAAAATTACAGACAATTAAGGTAGAGATTGATACTTTGTCATAAAAAAAACTACCCATTGAATTTTTCTGAATTTTTTATATGTTTGTGTTGAGTCCTTGTTCTAAATCATATCAAAAATTCAAGACAGGTCATCGGGCTAGTTTTAGAGAAATTTGACAATTTTAATATAGCCTTCATCAACCACTGAAGAGCTGAAAAAGCAGGGTAAAATAATATAAGAATATGATATGAAAAGGGCTGTAAATTTTTTATTGCTATATCAATTATTATTTGTCTTATATGAATTCAAACATCTGTCTGTATGGATTAATATTTGACATCAATCTTAAATTTATCAAGCATTGTAAGCAAAAACCAGAATTACATTTACCAAGATGCATGGTCAAATTAGGTTAAAATATTGCCTATTCATTGCACAAAGTCTCACACTTCTGCTTACCCATCAAATTTCTTTTTTTATTGCATATTATAGTTAGCCTATAAGTGTCTTAAATTTTAGAAAAAAATCATACTACATAATGGGGTTTAAATTCAACCTGGGACAAATTTATTATCTTACACCCTACCCTACCCCCTTACTTTAGAAGGATGCAATTTTGAAGAACATGGTGACTAAGAGAGATTATCAAGAAATTTATCAAAATATTTCACAGAAAATTAGTAAATTCTTTGTAATATTCTTCTAAATTACATTTTGTATCACAAAAACAATTTACACATGTACACCTAGACACATGTTGCCCTGGTTGACCTTTTTGCACTTATATTAAAAAAAGATAAGAAGTTTTCCTTGATATCGTTCAAATTGACTTTGATAGATAGAATTAATCAAAATATTTCAAAGAAAATGAGTAAAATTCCATGTAATATTCTTCTAAATTACATTCTATATCACAGAAAACAATTTATACATGTGTACCTGGACACATGTTGCCCTGCTTGACCTTTTTGCACTTATATTAAAAAAGATAAGAACTTTCCTTGATATCGTTCAAATTGACTTTGTAGATTTATTATACATATGATTCTTGGATAAATTATCAATGAAATATGTTTTGACCAATTCTGTGCATAAGTAAAATGGTTTTATTATCTTCCTTTGACAACAATAGAATGATTAATTTCACTTTTCTTTTAACAATTCCTTTTTTTCCAAATACATGTACAACATAAATAAGAAAACCCAGTGATAATGAAGTTTTGAACACAGAATCAATCCACGGCATGTTATCCTTGTTTTAAAAATATTCAGATAAAAAATGTGTTATGTATTACACTGTTAAATGAAGACTGCCTGGTCATCAGTTGTCAGATATTATTACACTAAAGCATGGTAAAAAAAATGCTAAATACATGGTAAAAAGTGTGGGAAAATTGGGTGATTTGGTTATCATTACATACATACAAAAATATAGCTGCAGATCTGTAGCTCTCCGAAAAAAATATATTGATAGACCGGAGAGCTACAGTGCCACCCATTGAAAAAACTGTATATTTATTGCGCACAAAAAAGTGCGCTCGGTTCTCGATTTATTTCACCATGTTTTTCAAACTGTAATCTCAAAATATTATTAACCGTGTGTTCCTAACATATTCTTTCGCTTTTTCCACAACCAAACATTCCTCATAATTGTTGTTAATAGTCCTCCTGACCCTGATATTGTAATCATCGAACATTTTGCATATTTATACTGCCATTTTGGTTTCAAAGATAATTCGGTCCAATATGCTTCGTTCGGATGTCAACTACGAGAGTACTTGATAGAAGATAAAGGAATTTTTTGAAATCTTTCCTTATTTGCAATTGAGGTAAGAATTTGGAAGAGTTAATTAAGAACCGAGCGCACTTTTTTGTGCGCAATAAATATACAGTTTTTTCAATGGGTGGCACTGTAGCTCTCTGGTCTATCAATATATTTTTTTTTCGGAGAGCTACAGATCTGCAGCTAACAAAAATAGTGTAATAATTTACAAAAAAAATACAATGTATTAGAGGTAATAATTTGTAACTTTAAAGTATAGATTTTGCAAACAGATTCATAAAAGTTAGAGGAATCCCACCATAAACTGTATGTGATACTGTACAATTTTTAAACTCATGATGTAGTTCAACAAAATAAAGTGAATACATTCAGTACATGTACGGTAATAGGATAAACTTGCTTTTTGTCTTATTGGCTAACAAAGATCAATGTAAACATGTATGCATTTTTAATTGCCATCGTTTGCAGCCAGTTGCATCATGTTCAAGGATCCTGACAATTCCGTTGTTTTTATGTCAATACAACAAAGGTGTTTTTTCCCAAGGATCTGCAGTAAGCAAAATTCACTCTGTATATTCAGATTTTGAAGCACGTCTTATGGTGTGATATGTCCGTTCCTCTTTACCGTCTCCTTCTTGTAGTTCTTTTTCTGAAAAGAACAAAATATTTTAATACAATAAGAATGAAAATACCTGTTTTACTTCTTTCTTACACTGCAAACATAGTATGACTATGTCTATATGAATATAAGACACTTTTGAGATACCTTTTTTATATAATGTCATGATTTTTAAAAATTAAATGCATATAAAGTCAGCCTCATTAATCTGGGCACTTTTGCTCCTAAGGAAACTATTTGGATTAATGAATTGTCTTAATTAAACAAACTGGTATATATAAGGATAAAGATCAAATATTTTAGTTTCTAAATGTAGGCCACACTCTAAGGCCAAGACCATGGGGTTAAAGGAAAAGAAATAAACGTGAAATACAAAGACTCAACACAAACTGTTCAAGAGTTAATACCAAAGGATCAAGTTTTTGTGGAAATAAAAAAACTACATGTACCTGTCAGTGACACATCAATGCATATACAACTAGCAACCTAACTATTATATGTGGAATTAAAATATTTTTCTTTTTACATCTTATTCCATTTTTTAAATTAAGTTTTGTCCCTAATTACCTTATTGATATAAATCCAATATTCTTTTGTAACACTGCAGATGACACTTGATTAGCCAAGGATCCTATATTTCCATGGGATCTGTAACATGATGAAAATAAAATAAAGTAAATAGCTTGATCTATTTTTTAAAAAAAAATGTAGAATTTATTAACAATTTTGATTTATTTTGCAAATTTAGCTACGATAATGTGAAGAGGTCAATATTGTTAAAAAAACATGTCAATTACAAGTTTTTTAACAATACTGACTTCTTCATATTATCATACCAATTCTTTGGTGCTTTAGTTGAAACAATTTCATTCAAGTTAGAAAACATCTTTACCTTTTTACAATTTTTGTGGTTATTCAGTTTTGAATTCAATTTACAACATGACTTTTTATATGTTTATACACAAATATTTAACCATACATGTATTTAAGTCAATAGAACACCTACATGTAAGTAGAGATGCAGGGATCCCCGGTGAGATTCTCAGTCCAGCCATACATGTTCCTTGTTTCCTGACACACAAGTATGTCACTTTATGTTCAGTTTGCTGTAGCATATCTGGCTTGAACTTTCCTGAAATATTAATATGATCTTTGAGAAATTATTGACTTAAGAAAATGCTTCTATATGTATACAATAATACTGTATGTACATTATGGTGTTTAAATTAAAAATACAAGGACTAAAAATTATAAATTTAAATTTTTAATACATGTATTATAAAACACCTCCTTTTTACCACCCCCTTAAAAAAATTTCTGGATTTTCCCTTATACATGTGCAAGTGTAAATTGAAAGAAAAAAAATACAAACCAATGGCTATTTTGGAGTTAACGTAAAAAGCACCCTTGACATTCCTCTTTCCAGGTGACACTTGATTTGGTCACATTATTTCAGCAGAAAAAGCTGAATACACTGTCTAGTTCAAAGCTTACTTCACCTGTAGTATTTTAAAATATTTCTTTTAAAAACTATGAATATGATATATCTGTTTATAATCAGGGCCCTTTTGAGCATAAAACAAATACATACATAAATTTATTACAGGTACATAGATATCACATAAGGCTAAAAAAATAGCCTTGTTTCCTGCTACCCGACTGACCCTATTTTTTTGTCACTTGATCCTAAAGCTGTTTCTTTTTTTTCAATGCAACTTTTTACAATTTGCTTATTTCAAAAAGACAAAAGATTTGTAAGTAGATGTCCACTACCATTTATAAAAGGGGTTATAATAAATAAAAAGCATCTGCCATCCATTTGATCCAAAGCAGAGAAAGTTTACACATTTCTGCATTTGAACAATTTAAGCAAAATATGTTTTCCATCTTTTGATCTGAGTAACTAAACATCACCTCGTGTGTTAGGCACAGATAAGTATGATTACTTAACATTTTTTACCAATCAGGCCTTTATCATGTTCTGACACCAGAAATGTCCGGTTTTATTCTTCTATTCTAGAAGTTACAGTCTGGTCATCAAATTAAATAAGTTTTAAATTTTAGCTAAATAAAACTACTTAAGGAAGGTAAAAAAATATATAGGCTATTGGTTGTACCAGACCTGTGCGTAAACAAACAAGCACCATAGTCATGATCGATATTCTAAGTCGTAAATATTCACCTTATGTATCTGAGACGGACACAGCATACAGGAAATCTGTTCTGCAAAAATTTTACTTCTTCCGTCATACCAATTAACATCTGTAGGGTCATGGTCTTTAAAAAAACAACATCAGGCACAGATCGATACCGGTGTACCCACGTGGTGCTGCAGCGGACACTGGACAAGGAGTAGTTTCGCCAAAATTATGTTCATGTTTGGCTTCAGTCTCACTTCTATTTTGATTCTCATGAAGATGCTTCAATTTCGAGAACCGTAAAGATTTAATACGTATGGTAACTTTGTCTTTTAAGTCGAGGAAATTTCTCGATCGCTTCGTCGGCCATCTTGTAGCATAGACAATAATGTGTAAATGGAGACTTTTATTTGATGGCGTTCCGGAATCCGGAAAAAAAGCACGTGCAAATATGCGAATTCTTTCTATCACGTGATTGCTATCTGTCTCTACCTTAACGTGTAATCAATTTACAAAGTAAAATAAAGATAAATAAAGAAATTCGAATTTGTCATCTATAACATTTGATAAAGAAAATATCAATCAAAAACACAGGTTTCCATCATAAAATGTGTATGGATTTGTACGTGTTGGAATAGGCTAATTTTAGGCATAGAGGAGAGAAAAATGTCTGGAGAAAAATAAAAAATAAAAAATATTGCACAATTCTAAATGCGAATAAAAATAAAGTGATTTAGTCATAACATAACAAAATGAGAAAGTAATGAAACATTGAATATAAAACTACTCCAAAACTGCTCAAAAATATAAACAAGAACTGTTTTATTGCTTTTTTCTCTTCTTTCTACAAAATTTTCCCCATAGGGTATTAAGAAAGATTACCCTCACCCTAAATCAGCAGGTAGTCTTCATACTTTTTCTCTATTCTCTAGTTGGTTGATACATATGTTACATTAAAAGTTTAAATCTAAAGTTTAAAATTATCTATAACCTAGTCATAAAAGCGAAATAATACAATAAAAACTAGAGGGTCTGCTATTGCAAGCAATAACGCATGTCGCCCCGAACTGTTTCCCTAATTCCATGGCAGCTATTAATAGTTTCGGACAAGACTTTCAATTTTTTTATCACTATAACAATACCCGTTAGCTAAGCTTGGACAACCATCAACTCCTATCAGTACTTTCAGTACTTTGATTTAAAAATCAAAGTTAAAGAATTTTCACTTTCCTCTGGTTTCCATGGTAATAATCGATTATTTGAAAATTTAAATGTGAATTGCACAACTACTACTACTAATCAATAAAATAAAAAAAGTTTCATGACAAGTGTTTAAGGGACCAAAGAGAACACTCGTGGACAAAATATGTCGCTTTTTGCAGGTTTCCAAGACAACGGTAGCCATTTTGAAAATGTATGAACTATTCGCACAGCTACAACCAGTGATCGTCCTTTGAGGAAAGTTTCAGGAAGATTGTCCCAGCCATCTCTGAGAAACCGCCTGGACAAAAAAAAAAAAAAACATGGCATTGCGTACAATCGCAATATGTGTCTCCGACTTCGTTTGGGGCGACATAACTAGCACTGCTACTAAACAATCAAACACTAAACAGTTGATAAATCATGACTATGTAGCGAACGGTCCTTTTTTCTCGAAACAGTATCATACATGTCCAAGAACGAATTTGATGTCGATATCGACGATATCGACAATATTATGTCGATATCGTATCGATATCGATCATGATGAGCACTATTAATTTGAAATACTTGGTACCATATATGAGGCTTTATGTTATGTCGATGTCGTCGATATCGACAATACCATGACGATATCGTATCGATATCGATCCTATTTGTAGAATTTATTTTCACAATGAGGTATAAAATAATTTTACAAGGTCACAAGTAATGTCAAATTCATTCATTATAAGCATGAATATAAATTAAATTATGATAAGGAGAGGTTTAGTGGTTGTTATTGTTTTGGATTAGGTTTAGAGTAAGATGTTGGTTGAGGATGAAAATTGTTAAATATGTTTTAACATTCATGAATAGATATCGATACGATATCGTCGATATCGACGATATCGACAGTAGGGTAAAACTATTAAACAGAAAATAAATATGCACATAAACTTATTGTCATAGGATATGTTAAAAATTAAGATTTTGTATTAGGGTGAATGTTGGTAAAGTAATATGTTTTAACAATCATGATTCGATATCGACACGATATCGTCGATATAACTCAAACATGAATACACATACAAAGTAACAGGGACGGTATTTACAAAGGGCTGAGCAAACATGATTCGATATCGAAGCGACATCGTCGATATCGACGATATCGACACTACAGGGAAAGTGTTTATAAAAGATAGTTTTCAAGTAATACGTGTTAAAATCACAATACTAGTATTATAGATGGAAACCATAATTCTTTGAACAATCATGAATCGATATCGGCACGATATCGTTGATATTGACAGTAAGGAAGACTTCTTCAAACAGAAAAGTATTGTAATAAACACAAGGATAGAGAAATATTATATAAACTATAAAAAAGTAATGTGCGATATCGTAACTACATCGTGTCTTGGACATAACTCAACAGTATATGGTAAAAAGAAACTAAGGAAAGAAAATATAGAAAGCAAATTTTTAAATTTGAATTTGAACGTGAAGATATAGCTCATTGTTCTGATATGAGACAAGGGATTTACAGATGCGCCAAATCGTGGTGGCTTGACCCCAAATTAGATTTGAATGTCTGTGGGGGATGACAGCAAGCGGGCATAAGATACATATGAGAATCTGTGGGTTTCGTGTGGATAGGATTGATGTAACATGTAGGAATAAGTTTGTGTGTGTCTAAATTGAATTATTCAGTGATGGATGAAATCGTTTTATGAGTATTTCTTCTTTCCTTGTCTTTGCACTAGATTGTCTGTATAAAGTTTGTAAAATGTAGAAACTTAAAAATAGACTCGAGCCTCAAATATCAAGATGTCTGTTTAGAATGGTTAGTGTTTTGATTGCTTTTTTGTATATGTACATAGTGGTTCAATTGTCATGGAAATACTAGTCATCTACGTGTAATTAAAATCTTGTTCCCATGAAAAATTAATTATTATTTTTATTTAGCCAAAAATCATTGAAGCTGAATTAAATTTAAATTTGATATCTATCAGTTCATCTTAAGTCACATTACAAACCTTTTAAATTATAATTGATAATTTTTTAGGCCATATTTATTGGAAAACGCTTTGAGTAATTCACAATTTTCCAATTTTTCTCGAATATTTCAGATCCGTTATTTCCATCCAAAAAGTACATTTTACTGGAAGATAATATTGTAAATGAAGAAGATTATGATTCAGTTACTTTGATATTGAAATACTTTTTAATTATTCTAAAACATTTTCTCAATTTTTCTTTGTATCAGGTATCCTAACCTTTGCTGGATGCATGTTTTTTGGACGTGATTACCCTGACTCAAAAGTGGGAGGTTCTTTCATGATCAGTTATTTTTCATCTGCTCTTATTTTTATTGAGGTAAACTAACTATTGCACAATCATATCTTTTCAACATTTTGCATGGTAACTATCCAACCTCTGATTTTTAGAGGTCTGTTTTTGCTATGCCCCTATTTGTTTGTTTTATAGCCTTTAAGCTTAAAAACTGTTCGTCATCTCAATGTATTTTATTTTAAATAGAGAACACAGTTCAACCAGTAAACATACTGTTTTCTTCATTTTTTTGAAGACCTTACCTTCTGTAAATCAACAAAAAAATTACATAAAGAATCGTGTGTAGTTTATTTACTTTATTGGGCAGGTGAGCAAAAACATATCTCTCCTAAATAATTTGTTGTTAATGATTTTTTATTCTTATATTCAGCATGAATTTGACTGAATGACATTCGAATGAAATAAAGTAATTATATCATTGATTGATTTCAATATTACATATGTCCCTATTGAGAATTTTCACTCAGATAGCAACATCATTGTTTATCGGTTAAGGGCTGCACATTTAGACCTATGCGTAAGAACTAACATTCAGCGACAACACAGCAAATGACAATTCTATTTCCAGTATTTATTATAAGATTTCATACTCAATAAGATTTCTTGCATAACAGATGAATTAGATCACTTTATTTGAATACAACCCAATGCGCTTAATCTCATACATTTGTTTTTATTAGATTCTCTTTATCAAATTTCCATACTCAAAATGTGAAACACTTTCACTAAGCTTCATTATATACACATATAAAAAGTGCACATAAACATGTACAACCTTTCATGTTTTCTGCTAAGCAA